CGCTGACCCTGGCCCTGGCCCTGACCCTGGCCCTGGCCCTGGCCCTGGTGGCCCTGGCCCTGGTGGCCGTGGCCCTGGCCCTGGCCCTAACCCTGGCCCTGGCCCTGGTTGCCCTGGCCCTGGCCCTGGCCCTGGTGGCCCTGGCCCTGGCCCTGGCCCTGGTGGCCCCTCGAACTTGTTCCCAAGCCACATACATGGTCCATGGTTTGCACCACTGCAGCCAGAACAGACCATCAGTCGACCAGAGAACTCTGAGCCTTAGCGGGGGTCCCACCTGACAGTGTTGGGCCAGACTGTCAACAACATCTCTGTGACCTGTTAACCCAGCTTGCTTAGCTCCAATTCCAATCCATGCTACTCAGCCTCTCCCTTTCCCACTTTGCCTTCCTATGTGAACTATGTAACCAGTACCCTCACCTCAGTCCTGACTCCAGGGAGTCCGCTTGCCTGTCTCACCAGGAAGGGTGTGTACTCAAGGTGGAGAGGCACAGGCCTCCTCGCCCACCCAGCCCCAGCGCTCCTTCGGTGACGCCAGGCCTCCTCGCCCACCCAGCCCCAGCGCTCCTTCGGTGACGCCAGGCCCACCTCGAAGGAGCTCCTGCTTCCTGCTGAGACACTCGCGCTCCTTGTCGCAGATCTCCCTCCTGTTCTCCACCGTCAGCTTCTTCATGGCCAGCTCCAGGTCCTCCTTCTGCTTGGCAACAAAGTCCCGGTCCTGGGGGGCGGGGGGAGACAGACTTACTCAGAGTCAGCCTGGAAAACAGTGTTTATTCCTGTCACAGGAGAAAGGTCAGCATGGCTAGAGAAGAAAATGTGGAAAACGAAGAAGAAAATGTCTCAAGATACCAAGTCAGTGGCCAGTGCAACAGATGGGCTTTACTTGAACCTGGAATCAAATGGGGGGAGGGAAGGAAAGAGGGGAAAGAAGGAGGGAGAGGAGGGAAGGAAGGCATGAGGATTGTGAGAAGAGTTTTGAGAAGTACAAATGTGTGTGCTGACTAGAATGCAAAAACGTTACTCAAAACCTAGCACCAGCGGCTCACGCCAGTCATCCCAGCTACTCAGGAGGCTGAGATCTGAGGATCATAGTTCAAAGCCAGCCCAGACAGGAAAGTCCATGAGACTCTTCTCCAATAAACTCAGAAAAAGCTGGAAGTGGCACCGTGGCTCAAGTCGTAGAGTGCAAGCCTTGAGCACAAAGAGGCTCCAGGACAGCGCCCAGGCCCAGAGTTCAAGCCCCAGGACTGGCAAAAAAAAAGTTATTCAGACATCACTGTTAATTTTTTGGGTGCTGAAGAGTGAAGCCAGCATCTGCACGTGCAAAGCGCACACTCACAGCAGAGCGTCTGCCCCAGTTCCCAGCGAAGGCACAATCTTGTCGTGCCGTGGTACCTATGATGAGAGGTGTTTATAGATACAGGGTGCCGTGGTATCTGGGATTTGAGTTAGAAGAATCCAGTGGGGCCAGAGAGGGACTGAGTGGCCGTGAGTAGGTACGAGGGCAGGTGGAGCTCATCGTCCACCTTTAACTACTACTGTCACTTTTTATTTTAATGGACAACAATTGTACATTTATGGGATATGTTCTGGCCATTCTTCACCTGTCAACAGGGCAGTTATCAAATCATGGCAATGCGCATTTCCCTTTCCTTGAACATGTGGCATTTCTCTGTCTAGAGATCCAGTCTAATTTTTTTATTGTTTTGTTCTGTTTTTTGCCTTGTGGGTTTTTTTGCCAGTCCTGGGACTTGAACTCAGGACCTGGTCACTGTCCCTGAGGTGTGTGTGTGTGTGTGTGTGTGTGTGTGTGTGTACATGTGTACATGCGTGCCTAAGGCTGGCACTCTGCCACTTGAGCCACAGCTCCACTTCTGGCTATTTTGGTGATGAATTGGAGATAAGAGTCTCACGGACTTTCCTGTTGAGCTGGCTTTGAACTGTGATCTGATAATCAGAGCTCAGTCTCCTGAGTGGCAGGCCACAGGCCTGGGCCACCGGCCTTGTGCTTGCTAAGTAGGCACTCATACCAATAAGCCCCACCCAGCCCTGACTTTTGCCCACTATTTTTTTACATAGGGTCTCACTTCCTGCCTGGCTGTGGGGCTTGGAGAGAGCTGCGTATGCTACTAATACATCCAGTTCTTCTCAAAGTCTTGAGAACATTCTCCTGCTGGCCTGAGTCCCAACAATCCCAGCCTTCCAAGCTGCTTGGGGAAAGCCACTCCTGCCTGTGTTTACCTTTCCAAACTAGCAAGAAAATAAAATTAAGCTTAAAAAAAGATTAGGTGCCTCACATGAAGGGCATAGAGGGCCAGACATGGCAGCACACATCTGTAAACCCGGCCACTCAGGTAGCACCCAGGCAAAAGTTAATGCAACCCTCACATCAATCAATAGCCGTGTACAGCGGCATACACCTGTCATCCCAGAGAGGCAAAGACACAGGGCGTCCACCTCCGGTGGGTGTGCAAGGAATCAGAGAAGGCTGCGTGGAGAGGTGAGGCGGGAGGGACTTGAAGGGTGAGCTGCTCCTGGGCGTTCAGAACAAGGGATGGACCTCTGCATAGGCCTCACGTCACTCAAGGCCTCAAGTCTGGGACTCCAGCAAGCACCCCTGCCCCCCACCCCGGGGCTGGGGACTCACCAGCAGCTGCTTTTTCTGTGTGTGCTCCTCCATCTTCTGCTTCATGCTCTCCTTCCGCTGCTGCCGGGGAAGCTTCTCCACCTCACTCTTCACCTGCAGCAGGGACGGCAGAAGCGGCGGGTCGGCACTCCCAGGCCTCCACCGGGCACCGCCCCGGGCTGGCTGCCACTCCTAGGCTTCCCACCCTGCACGGGGGCATCTTTGGGCTATCTCATTTCCATCCCCTTCTTCTGGTCCCAGAACCTGGGCTTCCTTCAGGGCTTTTCAGCATTTTCCCTTCCATGAAAATTCTGAAGAAAAACACCCCAAAGTAAGGGAAGACTTGAGTACTGTGTCAGGGTGGGTGGGTGGCTCAGAGACAAGCACTTGTCTAGCATGCTGAATTCTATGCCCAGCCCAAAAATAAATAAATGATGAATGAATGAATGAGAAAGAAGCTGTCGTGTGAGCAGAGCCTTTGTACCACCTCCACACTGCCCAGAATCAGTGACAGATGCAAGCTGTCCCTGGAGTCCTTGGAAGAAAATCTGCTTTCTGTCAGGATGGCAAAGGACATGGCTCCATGGGCCCTGGCAGCACCCCCTCCTCTCCTCTCACGATTCCTTCTGCAAACACCCAGGGTGAACATGGTGGGGTGCAGAGCCAGGGGGAGACCAGCACCACTGTGCATTACCCTGGGACAGACGCTGCATCTAGAACCTAATGTGCACCTCACCGAAGGCACAAAACCGTGAGGGATGGCTGCCGGTCCCTGGCCCTGGCCCTGGCCTCTCCTCTGCTTGCTCTGCTTCCAGTGTCCTAGGTCTCTGTCACACCATTTTTGGGCTCTCCTAAATAACTTCAGTCTAAGTTCTTTCCACTCTGTGGGAACATTCTCTGGGCTCAGCTTAAATACCAGCTAGAACACCTTCCAGACCAAGGAAACGCGGCTCTGCCTGTATCTTCTCTAGTTAGCAGGGCAGTTGGCATTCACAGCACGTTTGCAACTGTTTTAGGTATTCCATAGTGTACTTGTCTTTTGTCTTCTGGCTGTCTTGGACTTGAGTTCCCTTCTTGCCTTCTGTTCACTACAGAATGCCTGGCACCAGCACAGAAGCACACATGCAGACACTCAGCCAGACAGGACTCAGGGAAAACCATGCTGTTGGCACGCCATTGAACCAAGACTTGAAGCCAGGCCTGGCTCCTAATCCTATGCCATGCTGAGGGCCAGCTCCCCTCCACCCCGAGTGCTCAAGCACAACTCCTCCTCTCTCTGTGGGTGAGGAAGGAGCGTGAGGGGCATGCCCCAAACTCAGTCACCGAGACAGACACTAACATCAATCCGATGCATGCAAAACGTGTGAACAAGCACTAGCATTTTAAGTATACTCACTGACAGTTAATAATGATGGTCAGGTTGTTTGGACGGAGAGATTCGGAGGAGTTCAATAAAGCACAATCTCAGAAATGGTTAGATCATGAGGGCTCTGATCTGATGAATGGCTGAATTCACTGATGGATTCAAAATGTGGGTAAACTAAACTATCTGGAAGTGATGGAACTTCCTGCCTGGTTGGAGGCTGCTTCTTATCCTTCCCGTCCTGTTACTGCCCATCACTTCCTGTTGGCCATGGGGGGGCCCTTCACTTCCTGTCCACCATGAGGGAAAACCTTCACTTCCTGTCCGCCCTGAGGGGAGCCCTCTGCCGCACACTCCTGCCCCACCATGCTCTGCTCAAGTACGGGTTGAGCAGGTGATTCTCCAAGTGACTCTTAGGCATCTTCTCAGAGCAACAACGAAGCAAGCAGGACAGACAGAACACTGCCTCGCGCTGCCCAGCCCTGTCGAATACCACCCTTGTTCCAGTAGCTGACTCATGGAGTCCTTCTACTCGTTTTTACTTTTAAATACTGCATGTCACTGTTTGGCGACTGAGCTCGCAGAGGTCCCTTCTCTGTGGACGGGTCCCTCACTTGTCCCGCGCTGGCTCTGCTCAGACAGGGCTCTCGAGGCCCACGATGGGCCAGGCCAGGCCCGAGGTCCAGCAGGGCCGCTCATCCTGTCCTCAGCTTGAGATGAGGCTGCTGTTCCCGCTTGCTTGTCCTCCCCTAACTCTCCTAAGAAAGGGTATCCCAAAATGAAGAAACACCCTCCAGCCCCTCACAAGGGAGGCAAGGGCTGCCCCGTTCAGGGCAGGCTGAGATCTCCCTCCACCCACTGCCCTGACACTTCCCCTTGCAGGCAGGGGGGGGGGACAGGGCTTAGGGGTTACTGTGTGTGTGCCCACATCCTGTGTGCTAACAGCCTCTCCAGCGGGAAGGGCCACCACTACCCCTCCCTTCCTTCTGCTTTCACTCAGTGCCAGGCTGCGAGAAGGCAAAACGGCCCTCCCCACGCCCCATGCCAGGGCCCGGCTGGGTCAAAGCCAGCATAGCTGAAGAAGCTGAGAATGCACAGAGGTGCAGCCATGCTGCTCTGAGCAGCTCCCAGACCCTCTGCTGTGAGTGAGGCTGAGCCCGCAGTACCCAACACCCTGCCAGCCCTCAGTCACCTCCTTCTTCATGAGTTTGAGCTGCTCCTGAAACCTGGCATAGTCCCGATCCTGCTCCAGGCGGATCCGCTTGGCTTCCTCCCGGCGGCGCACAGAGTGGTCTTGCTCCATCTTTTCCACCTGCTGCTTTTGCTGACGCTCCAAGTTCTCCAGCTCAGTGTCAAAAAACTTCTTCTTGGTCTAGAAGAAGCAACAGTTCAGAGCAACTCAGCAAAGGCTCTCTAAACCTGAGGTTGTGCTCAGAAGCGGGTTTGAATTCCAGCTCCAAGACCTCTTTGCTGTGTGACCTAGGCCAAGTCGCTTAAAATCCCTGAGACTCTATTTTATTTCCATCTGCAAAAGGGAAAGCAGACCATCAACCTTAGAGGGGTGTTGCACTGTGTCCACAGGGTGATTTTCTCTGTAGAGGGGAATCTCTGTGCTTTTGGAAAGCAACAGTAATTGGGCAAACATTGTGAGCTGTCCCCTCCTCTTAAGAGAAAATGTGGCAGCAAGAGCCCTCCGGTCCCGTCCGCTCACACTCACAGTGATTTCTTGTTCAAAACGCTTGTGCATCTGCTCCAGCTGCAGCTCATGCTTGCTGCACAGTTGTGCCTGGTTCCTGTGCTCTTCCTTCTGGAGGAGCCGGAGCTCTCGAAGTTCCTGGCGCCTGAAGGTTGGATGGGAACATTTCCCAATGAGAAAGCAGCCTCAGAGGGCCGGTGTTCACGGCGCACGGCACTGAGGGCTGGGCCAAGGCGAAGCCGTGCAAGTCTTTGGCAAAGACAAGCTGTGGTTACAAGTCAATGCCTCAGGCTGCATTCGGCACTGACATTCAAAATACAAAGAGTGCTTACAGATCTTCAGGAAGAAAAGAAGGAATATTCTAACCAGCAAAAGAGGTGCAGGCCATGAAACAAAAAGCACTGCAGTGGTCACCCCGGGGTGCCAGCAACTCCCCTGAAACAAAACTAGCGGTCACCCCAGGGCCTATGGCCGCTGCCCCTCCCAGCCCCAGCACTCACCACCATACAGGTGAAACCCAGCACTTCCTTCACAGAGCACAGCACAACCAAGAACATCTTGTGTATTGTATGTTGGCCAATCAGGTTAAGTTTTACCAGACAGTGGCCTTATTTATCTGAGCCACCGTCTGTGGTGAGTACGTAGATGAAGGAAAGAGGTAAGCATGGCGGGGTTGGATGACTGGTAGATGGACGGAGGGGTGGACGCATGATGGATGGATGGGTGGATATTTGGGTATATAAATGGATGGACAGATGATAGACGAATGGGTGATTGATTGGGTCAGTGGGTGATACCAGCATGCGTAGGTAGATGGATACATAGGTGGGTGGATGGATGGATGGATTACGGATTGATAGGTAATATACCAGTGGTGGGTAGACTTGGGTCACTGGGTGTATATGTGAATGGAGAGATAGATAGATGGGTTGGTGGGTAGACGAGCGGATGAAGGAACAGATAACAGACAGCTGGGCAGGTAGACAGGTGGAGAGATGAGGAAGTACAGATTCTCAAGCAGGTTCCCCACTTAATGCTGTCGAAGACACAGTACCCATCCTTCTCACCCTGATGAGTACCCACCCCTCATCCCGACGAGTGCCCACCCCTCATCCCGATGAGTACCCACCCCTCATCCCAATGAGTACCCACCCCTCATCCCAGTGAGTACCCACCCCTCATCCTGATGAGTACCCACCCCTCATCCCGACGAGTGCCCACCCCTCATCCCGATGAGTACCCACCCCTCATCCCGATGAGTACCCACCCCTCATCCCGATGAGTACCCACCCCTCATCCCAGTGAGTACCCACCCCTCATCCCAGTGAGTACCCACCCCTCATTCCAGTGAGTACCCACCCCTCATCCCAATGAGTACCCATCCCTCATCCAGACAAGTACCCACCCCTCATCCCAATGAGTACCCATCCTTCATCCCAATGAGTACCCACCCCTCATCCCAATGAGTACCCATCCTTCATCCCAATGAGTACCCATCCTTCATCCCAATGAGTACCCACCCCTCATCCCAGTGAGTACCCACCCCTCATCCCAATGAGTACCCACCCCTCATTCCAGTGAGTACCCACCCCTCATCCCGACGAGTGCCCACCCCTCATCCCGACGAGTGCCCACCCCTCATCCCGATGAGTACCCACCCCTCATCCCAATGAGTACCCATCCTTCATCCCGATGAGTACCCACCCCTCATCCCAGTGAGTACCCACCCCTCATTCCAGTGAGTACCCACCCCTCATCCCAATGAGTACCCATCCCTCATCCAGACAAGTACCCACCCCTCATCCCAATGAGTACCCATCCTTCATCCCAATGAGTACCCACCCCTCATCCCAATGAGTACCCATCCTTCATCCCAATGAGTACCCATCCTTCATCCCAATGAGTACCCACCCCTCATCCCAGTGAGTACCCACCCCTCATCCCAATGAGTACCCACCCCTCATTCCAGTGAGTACCCACCCCTCATCCCGACGAGTGCCCACCCCTCATCCCGACGAGTGCCCACCCCTCATCCCGATGAGTACCCACCCCTCATCCCAATGAGTACCCATCCTTCATCCCGATGAGTACCCACCCCTCATCCCAGTGAGTACCCACCCCTCATTCCAGTGAGTACCCACCCCTCATCCCAATGAGTACCCATCCCTCATCCAGACAAGTACCCACCCCTCATCCCAATGAGTACCCATCCTTCATCCCAATGAGTACCCACCCCTCATCCCAGTGAGTACCCACCCCTCATCCCAATGAGTACCCATCCTTCATCCCAATGAGTACCCACCCCTCATCCCAGTGAGTACCCACCCCTCTCAGTACATCCCCACCATTACTACCATCAGTGGTCCTTCCTGAACTTGCCTGAGAAATCTCATCTCCTCGTCCTTCTTCTCATCTTCACTGATGATCTTGGAGGTGGTAATGCTCACCTCTACGCCATCCACCACAAATTTACGTGTTCGCTTCAGGGTTTTGTTGTGCAGCCTTGAGTCCTGGCCAGGGAACACATAAAGTGCCAAAACTCAGTACTTCAGCCTACCCTCCAAGGATGACACAAGGTGAAGCCGACAGCCCTCCGGGGAGTAGGGGCAGGGGGTCAAGGTGCGAGCTGAGCTTCCTCCTCCCTGGGTGGAGACCTCCCTTGGGACCAGTCTCCTTGCTTCTGAACCCAAGTCTGAACCCTCAGCGTTCAGATGCACAGTTGCAGGCTCCACTTGGCAGGGGCCAGCCGTCAGCCGGCTGTAAGGAAGGCAGGAGGGTGTGGAACTCAAGGGAAAAAAGCCCACTCGGCTGCAGCCCTGCCTTGAGGGCTGAGCACTGCCCTGACCACAGGACCCATCCCTGAAGAGACAGACTTCTGCTCACCAGGACATCATGCATCACCCCCTTACCGCAGCCACTCCCCGGAGAAAAGCCGGGGAGAGACTGCTCCAGGCGAGTCCACCATATTTACAAAAAGAAAATGTTGTACGCACAGAGTCTACAGGAAGAGAGAGGCAGGACAGGGTCTAGGAAGGCACAGCCAAATGAAGTTACCTTGAGGGACAGGGAGCCCGTCTCTCTGTTCAGGGACAGGTCAGCAGACAGGGAGGCACTGTAGTCCACGCTGTCGGAGGCCGGCTGGGAAGGGCCCGGGCCCGTGGGGGCCGGGAGCTCCAGGCTGCCGTTGGCCAGCTTCCCGCCACAGAGGGACTCCAAGGCACTGCTGCTGGGCCGGCTAGGGCTGGGCCGGTCATGGTTGGCCTTCTGGGACCTGGTGGCTGCAGGACTCTGATCCTCAGGCATTTGCTTCTCCTCCGCCACCTGAATTCTGGCATCCATGGACACGGGCCGGGGCTTCCGGAGGGGCACGGGCACTGGTAGGCCGTTGTCATTTGCAGGGGCCACATTGGGAGGGCTGCTGGCTTGCGGGCACCCGTCCCCAGAGGGCTGGTTGTGGGCACCAGACACCCCATCCTGAGCCTGGCTGGATGGCCGTGGGACAGCCGGCTCCTGGAGAAGCTGGTGGGCATATGGGCTCAGCCGGCCTGGCTCAGAAGAGTCCTGAGTGTGGCTCCCCAGGGTCTAAAGAAGACACACGGCCAAGTCAGACAGCGAGCCGTGTGGGTGTGGTGCTGGGGGGGGGGTAGGGGTCTCCTCACCGCTGTTCTCGCCACCACTACCACCTCATTATGAAGATGCTCCCAGGGCGAGGCCCGAGAAGCCCCTGCCAGTCTAGCCGCAGCGTCTCTAGGCTACTGGGAGGGGCGTCGGAAGGATGGAGGCTCAGCAGCCATCTTACTCCAGCTTGGAAATCTGGACTGTCATGTGACTCTCTTTCTGGGGTCTGGTTTGCAGGGGGGCAGGCACTCTGCTCACCTGAGTTACCCCCCGCCTCTCTTGCTGTCAGGTCAGGTCAGCCTTGGCTGGCAATCCTACCCACGCCTTTTTCACACTGGGTCGCAGAAGTACAAACATGCAGAGACTCCACTCCTGTGCCCAGCAGCAGACGGGGCAGCTGGCACAGCCTCTTAGCCTGCTGCCTCCGAAAACCCCTGTGTGAGCCACACCGGGAAGGATGGGGGGCTCTGAACACTGGAGCTGCAGGTGAGGGCCATCCGCTGCGCCACCAGGGTGGACGGCAGGTGGTTTTATGTGAAAACCTGGACTCCGAAACACTGTGCATGGGCTCCGGCGAGGAGCCCTCAGCCAGGCCCTCCCGCAGGCCCCTCACCTGACCTCCACATGGGGCAGGGCAGGAGCCTCAGCCTCCCTCCCCAGCCTCCCTCCCCAGCCTCCCTCCCCAGCCCCAGCCTGGCCTCCCACACTCACAGAGCTGGCGTCCACGGCGCCCTCCTCTTCCCCATTGTCCTCGATCTCCTCCATCACCTCCGCCTTGGCCTCGGCCACCAGCTCCCGCAGAGCCTTGTTACTGGTGACAGTGCTGACAAAGGGGTGCTAGGGGCAAGACACACCTGGTCGGCACCCCGGGGGGCGGGTGGAAGGAGCCAGGGGTCAGCACCCCAGGGGTCAGGGGTGGAAGGAGCCAGGGGTCAGCACCCCAGGGGTCGGGGGAGGAAGGAGCCAGGGGTCAGCACCCCAGGGGTCGGGGGTGGAAGGAGCCAGGGGTCAGCACCCCAGGGGTCGGGGGTGGAAGGAGCCAGGGGTCAGCACCCCAGGGGTCGGGGGTGGAAGGAGCCAGGGGTCAGCACCCCAGGGGTCAGGGGTGGAAGGAGCCAGGGGTCAGCACCCCAGGGGTCGGGGGTGGAAGGAGCCAGGGGTCAGCACCCCAGGGGTCGGGGGTGGAAGGAGCCAGGGGTCAGCACCCCAGGGGTCGGGGGAGGAAGGAGCCAGGGGTCGGCACCCCAGGAGTTGGGGGTGGAAGGAGCCAGGGGTCGGCACCCCAGGGGTCGGGGGTGGAAGGAGCCAGGGGTCAGCACCCCAGGGGTCAGGGGTGGAAGGAGCCAGGGGTCAGCACCCCAGGGGTCAGGGGTGGAAGGAGCCAGGGGTCAGCACCCCAGGGGTCAGGGGTGGAAGGAGCCAGGGGTCAGCACCCCAGGGGTCGGGGGTGGAAGGAGCCAGGGGTCAGCACCCCAGGGGTCGGGGGAGGAAGGAGCCAGGGGTCAGCACCCCAGGAGTTGGGGGTGGAAGGAGCCAGGGGTCGGCACCCCAGAGGTCGGCACCCCAGGGGTCGGGGGGTCAGCACCCCTCATGGGAGCTGGGGGAGGCGACCCCTCCCCCCCAACAGAAAAGGCCACGGTGGCCTCAAGTGAGCCCCAGCATGGTGAGGAAAGGAGGGAATGCACAGCGCTACTCCAAAAGCTTCCTGGAGCAGGCCACCCCTCCCAAGGGCACAGTCAAGTGGTCGGCCGCCCACAAGGCTGCTGCCGGCTGAGCTGGTCCACCAGGGTCCACCCAGGAAGAGCCCGGCCCCCGGCCCCTGCTGGACCCAGGTAAAGCTGAGGCCCCGGCTCCAGCCTGCACAGCCCAGCCCAGCCTGCCCGCCGTTACCCTGCAGGGGCCCTGCTGGGCGGGCACAGGGGCCAGGACAGGATCCCTCACCTCCAGCAGCTGAGCAGCACTGGGCCGGGTTTCGGGATTCTTGTCTAGCGCTGTCTTCAGGAAGTCCCGGAACTCCGCGGACCTGAGGATGGGATCTGTGGTGACTTCAGGCTGGGGGCAGTGCTGACACCCCTGCTGCAGCTGGCAGCCCCGGGGACACCACCAAGGACTCGTGCCCTTCAGTGGTGGTGCCCGTGCCGAGTCTCCTCACCACTTGGAGGGCGTGAGCAGCGTGGGAGGATCCGACTTGGCGATCTTGAGCAGCACCCGCATGGGGTTGAGCTCATGGTGTGGGGGCTCGATCTGTGCCATCTCAATCAGCGTGATGCCCAGGGACCAGATGTCAGCCTTGTAGTCATACGGTGTGTCCTTCATGGTCTCGCACAGCACCACCTCAGGAGCCATCCTGAGCCACCAAGCAACAACACAGGGCTAAGCCGAGGGGCAGCACGGGAACACACCCAGGGACAACACAACACGGCTCCCGATGGTGTGTCTCAGAGACTCAGGGGCCCAGGACACCAGCCCAGATGAGGGCTGAGGGCCCTCCTGAGTCATGATCTCAATTACGTGATGTCCCACTGTCCTCCTTAGAAGGTCTTCGCCTGTTAGCGCCTGCCATGGCCGGCCGGCATTCCCAAGACCTGCCAGAAGACGGCAGCAGCGATCCAAAGCAGAGGCCTAGGGGGTAAGGGAGGCAGGCAGAGAGGACACACAGCACTGCAGGAAAGGGATGGGAGAGACAGGGGAAGGAATCAAGCAGAGTTACAGAGCAATAAGCAAGCAAGAAAGAGGGACACGGCACCACCACAATCGTAAAAACAACGAAACAGCAAGTCAGTGTGAGAGGAGTCAGAGCTGTTTCTTCGTGAAGGGACAGCTGTGGAAGAGGGGCAGTCACAACACTGTGGAGATGGGAGTGAACCTGCACTGCGCATGGGCCCACCCAGCCCGGCCGGCGGCCACCTGGGGTGCAACACAGAGATGTGAAATAAGCAGCACCTGGACCACGGTTTAAGGGTTCCCTTTGGCTTCCTAATGGAGTGCTCACCCTGAGCACCAGCCCATCCCCTCAGTACCTATAAACAGGCGTTGTTACTTCCTGGTTTACTGTGAGGAATCAGGAAGCCAGGCAGTGTGTCCAAGTGGGGGCTGGCCTCTGCCCTGGGCCTCTCCCCTCACCACCCAGAGGTCACCCTGGGTGAAATGCAGATACTCAGGCCCGTTCCACCCCCAGAAGAAATGCAACTCACCAGTACGGCGTTCCTATGAAGGAATCTCGCTTCTGCAAAGTTTTCAGATTCTTGGCAGATACACCAAAGTCGGCTGGAAGACAAAAATCTCAGATAAAATATCTGAGGACCAGACCTCTACCCATGGGTGGGGGGGGGGCGGGGAAGGTCAAGCCTTGGAGTGGCACAGATTCCAGAGAAGTAACAGGTGCTGTCTATCAATGGCGAGCATGAAAAAGATGGCAGCGTGCAGTCTGTGGTACCTGGCCTGGGATGGGCACATTCCTACCTGAGTACAAGCTGCTAACGGTCTTCAGGAAAGCAATCGGGTAATAAACAACAAGGACCTTGAAAACATCCCTACTCAGATACAATAATTGTAAATGAAGTGATCTAATTAAGGAAATTATACTAAATACAAAAATATAACCATGAGCCAGGCGCTCATGCTTGTAATCCTAACTTCTCAGGAGGCTGAGATCTGAGGATCCTGGTTCAAAGCCAGCCCCAGCAGGAAAGGCCGTGAGACTCTTATCTCCAATAAACCACCAGAAAACCGGAAGTGGCGCATGGCTCAAGTGATGCTCATTGAAGTTCCCTTACAGTAACAAATTTGTGTGTGTTTGTGTGTATGTGAGAGAGAGAAAGAGAGAGAGAGAGAGAGGCTTGAACTCAGGACCTGGGCACTGTCCCTGAGCTTTATTGCTCTAGGATAGCTCTCTACCACTTTGAGACCCACCTCAACTTCCAGCTTTTTGGTAGTTAATTGGAGATAAAGAGACTCAAGGATTTTCCTTCCTGGGCTGGCTTCAAACTGTGATTCTCAGATCTCAGCCTCTAATAGCTAGGATTATAGACATGAGCCACTGGTATCTGGCAATAGTAGCAAATCTTAACCAGAATTGCTTAGCTATGTTTTCTTACTATAATTTTCAAATTTTATGTGCCATATACACAATATCCTGCCTTTCCCAAAAAGGGTTTAAGGCCTCTCTCTTCCTCTCCCTCTCTCTGCCCCCCCCAAACACACACACACACACACACACACACACACACACACACACACAGAAATAAAGTAGGAAATTAACAAGACAGGAAGTACAGTGGCACAAGTAACCCCAGCACTTAGGAGACAACGGCGGGAGGACCGTGAGTTCACGATCGCCTGGGCTACGTAGTAAGACTGTCTCAAAAGAACCAGGGGCTGGCTGGGAGCTGAGCCTGTCTGGCAAGTGAAAGCCCTGAGCTCAACCCAAGGGCAGGGATGTAGCTTCGTGGTAGATTGCTTGCCTAGCTCCTGGGTTCCATCCCCAGCACTACAAGAAAAATGCCATGAGATATTTTACCCTTTTCATGGACACTAACATATATTTATCAGCATAGATTTCGCTCATATGTCAAGCTAAGTGGAGACAAGGTACACGCACTGGAGAGCCTGGGGACACATCCCCGCCTCCTGGGCTGTGTGTGGGTGGGGAAACCAGACCAGAGGTTCCTTCCACTTCCTCAATTCTGAAACTTTGCTGTGTCGGAGTTTCCGGATTAACAAAAATAATCAGATTTACCCTTCAATACGTGATCTCCCTTCCTAGCCCCCAGCAAGGAGAAGGACCTGGTGCTGTGGAGGGAAATGTCCCCGATGCTTCCTGACAGGCTGGAAGAGGACAGTCTGCTCATCCAGAACAACAGTGACCCTCCAAGACCCCTCCCTGACCCGTCACAGCCTGACCCTGCAGCCAGGCCTGCTCCACGACCCGGCCAGGCCGCAGCCCCGCTGAGCTCAGAACCACGTAAGCTGAAACCAGTCTCCACCCGGCACATCCGGCACCACAGGAACACAGAGACCAGTCGAATCCATGCCCCTCAGACAGCTCAAGGTGCAGAGAGACCAGGCAACACCAGTGTCCACTTATAGCTGTGGGAGGAAGGGAGTGGCGAAGGACTGCCAGTGGAGAGAGGGAGGAAAGAGGAGGAAGGAGGGAGGGCGGGAGGAGGCCCAGCCCCACTAAGAGGTGTGGCTGCTGGGGTGCACACGCCCCGCCAGGCCTCCGAGCAGGATTGCGCCTGGGCTCTGTGGACACGTGTCTGGAAAACTCAGCAGTCAGTACCACGTGTCTGCCAGGAACTCTCCTGGGGGCAGTGACAGCCCTCCGGCCAGGGCGAGTCTCAGGACCGCCTACTGCTCTGTCACCACCACAGCCGCAGACTCCTTTCTGAGGAGAGAAACCCCTGCTTCCACAATGACACAGAGGGGCCCAGCCCAGCAGGCATTCCGGAAAGAGCAGCCAGTCCTTCCCTTTCAGGCCCAGCCCGAGGTGGGACTCTCCCAGGCCTCAGAGGCCTGTCCCCCTGCCTGTCCCCTGGCCCCCGCAGAGGCATCCCTGGCCTGTCCTCCGGCCTGTCCCCAGCCTGTCCCCCGGCCACTGCAGAGGCATCCCAGGCCTGTCCCACTGCCTGTTCCCTGCCTGTCCCCCGGCTTGTCCCCGGCCTGTCCCCCGGCCTGTCCCCTGGCCTGTTTCTGGCCTGTACCCCGCCTGTCCCCCTGCCTGTCCCCCAGCCTGTCCCCCGGCTTGTCCCCGGCCTGTACCCCAGCCTGTCTCCCGGCCTGTCCCCCGGCCTGTTCCCGGCCTGTCCCCCACCTGTCCCCGGCCTGTACCCCTGCCTGTCCCCGGCCTGTTCCCGGCCTGTCCTCCAGCCTGTCCCCCGCCTGTCTCCCGGCCTGTACCCCACCCCTGCAGAGGCATCCCCGGCCTGTTCCCGGCCTGTCCTCCAGCCTGTCCCCGGCCCCACAGGGGCAGCCCCGCCCCGTGCCCCGTCTAGGCTGCCCCAGGGGACATGAGCGTCATTTCACTGTGGTCTATTGAGGGAAACAAGGCAGGCCGGGCGGCAGGAAGGAGGGAGGGGGTCCCACGGGAAGGGCACTGCCTGTCCCTGCCCTGCACCGAGCTGGCCTGCGTGCATCTAGAGCTGGCTGACACAGGGACGGCAGGAGGGCCAGTCAGTGAGGCTCCACCTCACCTTCTCCAGTGCCGTGAAAATATCATACGAAATAGAAATTATCCACAAATGCACAATCATATGCATTACACTGTGCTGTTGTCCTTGCTCTGTTTTACGTCAGTCCCTGATATATGTTTCTCACTGTGTCTAACTTACAAAGTGAACTTCCATGTGGGTGTGTGGTATACACAGGGAGACATCCACACAGGCACAGGAGCACGCAGGCGTGAACATCCACACCTGTGTGGTACACACAGAGGTGGGCTGTGTAGGCGTGTGGCACACGCAGGGTGAACATCCACACACGTGAGGTACGCACAGGTGGGCTGCGTAGGCGTGTGGCACACGCAGGGTGAACATCCACACACGTGTGGAACGCACAGAGGTGGGCTGCGTAGGCGTGTGGCACACGCAGGGTGAACGTCCACACACGTGAGGTACGCACAGGTGGGTTGCGTAGGCGTGTGGCACACGCAGGGATGAACGTCCACAGGGCTCAGGACATCCTTGGAGCCTCTGTGGATGTGTTGGAGGAGCCTCTGTGGATGTGTTGGAGGAGCCTCTGTGGATGTGTTGGAGGAGCCTCTGTGGATGTGTTGGAGGAGGCGTGTGGCACACGCAGGGATGAACGTCCACAGGGCTCAGGACATCCTTGGAGCCTCTGTGGATGTGTTGGAGGAGCCTCTGTGGATGTGTTGGAGGAGCCTCTGTGGATGTGTTGGAGGAGCCTCTGTGGATGTGTTGGAGGAGCACTGGTCCTCTCGGCTGTAAAATAGCAGGGAGCCCTAGGAACAGAACAAGGCTGCCCTGGGATACGCTCCCTGGTGATCTGCCTCAAACCTGACATCCAGGTCACAGAGGACATGCTCCAGAGCGTGAGTCTGCTGTGCGGCACGCACCTGCTGTGGGTCACACGCCACACTCAACAGACGCCGCTCCCTGGGTGTGGGGCGCACAGACCTTACATTTTTACTTTACACACTTTTTCTTTTCTTTCTGGTGTGGGGTTTGAACTCACAGCCTTGAGTTTACTCTGCTTGCTTGCCTAGCTGGCACTCTACCACTGGCGCCACCCCCAGCCCAGCGTCTTGATGGTTATTGTGAAGTCTCACAGGGTTTTCTGCCCCAGTGGGCTCTGAGCCCCTGCCCTCCAGACCTCGTCCTCCGAGGAGCCAGGGTTGCACACACGAGCTAACTTTTAGCCTTTAAAATGCTCGTATGGACTGCTTTATGGTTTAAAAAACAGAAATGCAGTTAGCAACGTATTTGGGGTTTTGTGGGGTTTTAGTCTTTTTTCCTCTGCAGTAAAACCCAGGATGTGGTGAAATAGAACTTCGAACTTAGTAGGGGCGTGAGCAGGAAGGAAGGCGCTGGCCACAGTCAGTCTAATCCGGAGACTCAGTCAAGCCGGGAGCTCTCCCTCCCCCAGGCGGGACCGCAGAAGGAGACTCAGAGGCCCACCTCCAGCCCTTCACAGCAGTGCCGCCTGGAGAGCAGGGTGGAGGCTCCAAATCTCCCAATCACTTCTGAGAGGAGGAGATGGGGACATACAGTGATTGCAGACGAGAACATGATATTACGTGAGACAACCTGGGAGCAGAAAGACAAGCACCCCAAGACCTCGCAGGTGGGGTGCAGAGCCGCGTTTCAGAGGCTGGAGGGGTGTGCACCCCTTGGGCAGCGGTGGTTCCCAGACCAGACATGGCCCCGTGCGAGAAACCAATGCTCCACAGCACAGGCCTTCGCTGCCCAATTCAAAACAGCTGGCAGACAGGGCTCTGAACGTGGTCTCCACGGTTACCCACAAATCAGTTACCCGGCAGGATCAGGGTTCACACACGGGAATGCCACAATGTACCACATGTGACCATCCATTAAAGTAGCGGAGGCTGGGGCCTGGGGAGTCGCTCGATGGAAGAGCTCATGCTCTGAATGCACCACACAGTGCCAGCTATGAGCAAGCCAAGCAAAACCGCGACCCCCGAGTTCAAGCCCCGGTACCACACACAAAAGACAGACTAGGAAACTGGACATCCTAAGAACCCAATTTCCTAAAGGTCATTTTCATCTTATAAAAAGGAAATTATTAGCCCAGCTGCTCGGGCAATGGAAATCTGAAAGGATCATAGCTTGAAGCCAGCTGGAGCAGAAAAGATCATGAGACTTCATCTCCAAAATAACCAGCAAGAAGCCAAGCTGAAGGCATGGTTCAAGTGGCGAAATGCCAAACAAATGAGAAAGCTGAATAATCACAAGGCCCTGAGTTCAAATCCTGATACCAGCAAAAAACAAACAACAAAACAAAGGGTAACGTTTGTTGAGAATCTGTAAGGTGCAGAGACTCATGTGTGCCATCGGCATAGAGAAATGTCTGAGTTCTACGGCGTCCCCCCTCACCTAGGACCCTGCAGGGCAGGGAAAGGGTCGGCCCCATCTCGTAAGTGCTGAGATTAAGTAACCTGCGGTGTCTCCCCCGCTCTCCTGCCCTCCCATGTGCATGGGTGAGGGGAAACTGCACAGAGGCCGAGCCCAGACCCCGCGTGCGGGGGCAAGAACAGGGAATTCTGGGTCACGGCGAGGTGGGGGAGAGGCCAGGCCTGGCTCCTGCCTGGCGCATCGGTGGCTGTGGGGATGAGGGACCCTGGAGTCACAGTCTGCAGCTGCGGGGATGCTGGGCGCGCCTCTATCACTGAGCGCCCCCCGCTCCAGCTGGGCACCTGGACCTCCAGGGCAGGGACACTCTGCCCGGAGCTCGGGAGTCCCTCCTGGAAGCTGCAGAGTTCACCTCCTGTGTGTGTCAGAGACACCCGAATCAGATGAAAGGCGTCTTCAGGATTGCGGCTGGGCACTTCCCACCAGGAAAGAATAATGTGCCAGGGTGTGCCAGGCATCTACAGAGTGTGCCAAATACACACCCAACTCTCCAAACTCAACGCTCCTTCACTGGCTCCCTGGGGCTCCCAAGTAGCCAAGCCTGGAAACCTGATGCACCCCTCTGCCTCAGCCGGCTCTGACTGGCACCCCGGACTCTGCACGGCGTGCCAGGGCCCTGCGGATGGACAGGGGATCTGGGGTGGGGCAGGGGCAGCAGCCCAGAAGTGAGAAGCCCACAGCTCAGCACAGTTACGGCCACAGGCCCAGCCTCCACCCTGCACTCGGCCTGGCCTTGGCCCTGGGGCTCCGTCTCCGGCCTCCTCCATTACACACACGCACCGGCACACTTGACTGTCCTCTGCCCTGGCTCCCTGTGCCAGCTGCTCCGGTTCACACCCCTCTCCCTGACTGAATGGTCTTCTGGAAATCCTCACTGCCACCGCTCCCCGGCTGGCAGGATCTGGGGTGCCTCCCTTGGCAGTGTCCATGTCCTGCATCCAGACCCCTGAGCCGCCCCAGCAGCAGCAGTCAACGCGATGCTGGACAAGTAAGTCCAGCAGACGCGCTGAGCTTGATGTCATTCTTCCCAGGCCATCTCCACGACTCTGCTCCCCACCCCCTGCCCAGTCACGCCCACACCTGGCACCTCCCCAGCCATGTCCGCCTCCGAGACTCCTCTCACATACAGCCCCTGGGACTCCAGCACCCCGGCCACAGCCCTGGTGGCCGCCCGCCCCGTCCCTGCTGGCTGGGTCTAGGGTAGATCCCACCCTCCCTGAGGTCTGAGCTGAGACGCTGAGAGCTGTCAATCTATGAAAATCCACAACTGCACACCCTGCTAACGACCCATCTCCAGCTACACATGGGGGTCTCAGTCTCCGGGCCTCTGTGGTACAGTCGTGGGAAGAAATAAAATGCTCCTTAGCAACACCGAGGTGATGAGCAGAGGAAGCCAACTGGGGCTGGGGACAGAGGAGGGGGTGAGGGGGCAGAATATCAGACAGTGCATCCAGGACACCCCAGCCTGGTACTCCAGCCAGGACGCCCTTCCCCACTCCCCACACACGTCCTCCTCCAGCCAATGTCACCCTCCAGGGCCCTGAGCCACGTCCTCCCCCAGCCAATGTCACCCTCCAGGGCCCTGAGCCACGTCCTCCTCTAGCCATGTCACCCTCCAGGGCCCTGAGCCATGCCTCACCCAGCCGGATGTCACCCTCCAGCGTCATGAGCACATTGCCAGCCTTGAGGTCGCGGTGGATGATCTTCTTGCTATGCAGGAAGTGGAGAGCCTCCAGCATCTGACGGCACACCACCTGAATCTGGGGCTCGGTGAGGCCTCTGTCCAGCTCTAGAAGAGAGGAGACTTTCACCACCCCGCAGCACCACTGCAGACTCTGCTGGCCAACCCACATCATGCACACACAGCGCAAGCACTGTCAACACCAGGGCCCCAACAGGACTGGCTTGGCCACCTCTGCCCCAGGCAATGCTCACACAGGCTGTGTCTCTGGTATCTCTCTCTCTCTCTCTCTCTGGTATCTCTCTCTCTCTCTCTCTCTCTCTCTCTC